AAAATTTAAACGTCCGTTCTTCTCATAAGGTGCACCTAATAAAAATATTTAAAAAATAATTCGTAAAAAATAAATTGACCAAAATAGTTTTGGTCAATTTATTTCTTGCAAAATATTTTTTGATATTTTAATTAGATTATCCTATTTTTGAAGAACATACACCTAAAATTTTAAGTTATTTGGATCTGTAAAAAAAAAATTAAAATTAAAATACGAAGTAAGGTCATGACATTCAAATCCGCCCAGATTCAATCTGGGCCATTGGGCTCATATGTTCATATGAGCTAATGGGCTAATATCAATATATATATATATATATATATATATGTTATGTTAGGGTGCTCATACAATAGAGTAAATTATCATTGTACTCAACAATTTTGGACATTTCTATGTCTTTATTTTGTACATGGATAATGTTTTTTAATAAGGATATTTTTGGTCATTAAGAAAGGTGTGAGGTCATCCACATGAGGTATGATCACCCATATGAAACATACTATGTGGATATGACATCACCCATATGGAATACACTAGTGGTATTTTATGTAGGTGATGTTACACACCTTGTAGATGATGTCACACCCCTCCTAAAGACAAAAAATACACTTACGAAAAAAAAGCTCCATGTACAAAACAAAGGTATAGAAGCGTCCAAAATTTGTTGAGTACAATGATAAATTATTCCATAGTGTGAGCACCTTAATTAAGATGCACATCAAAAACTCACTAGAAGAGCTTGTTTCAATGCTAAAAAACCCCAATTCGATCATCTCGCCATTGTATGGACATGAGAAAAAGTAGATTCAAGTCTTGGATCTTGTGTATCTTGTATTGTATTATCAAACTGTCAATTTTGAAGCGTTCATGCATTCATAGATATGTTTGATCTACGCTATTTTTTAATCTTTAAATTTTATAATTAAAGATGAAAACAAATTTTCAGGTTATCACAAAGATTTCTGACACCCACAACAATATATTTTTGCACTATTTGAAGGTGGCCTTACTTTAATCGGTGATGGTTGAGTTATAGATTGTCTTTTGTTGCATCTTTTCATTGTGAATGTGAATTTCTATAAGCCTCAGCCTTACGGGACAAAAAAATGGTAAAGCTGAACTTTGAAACTGAACCCGGAAAATATTTTAGCAATGGGAAATCTCTATGATGGCTCTAAAATCAATTTCCACCTTTGATTATAAAATTTGTAGCTCAAAAAATGGTTCAAATCTTGCTGTTTTGTTAACACTTATATTTAGGGCTTAATGGACAGTTTAGATAATGTGTTACGGTATAAACTATTTTTAAGGTTGAAAATCTTAATTTTTTTCGCAACTATAATGATCAAGGCCGAGATAATTGATTTGAGGGGGATACCAGTGTTGCAATTTTCGTTGTGTTTTGCGGTGAGGCTTTACTTGATTTGATAAGGTGAGGCTTTACTTGATTTGATAAGGCCTTAGACCTATCAAAACATTTGCCATATATATAGTAGGTTAACACAACCCATTTAGCCATGAGTATGGCCTGAATGGAGACCCAATGCGGCCCAGTTCAAGTCGATCTTAACTTATATTGCAGGATGCACTTAGGCGCACCTCAAGAGTACCTATGTCGAGTGGATTGGGCAAGTCACAGGGTCGTCCCAACCCAATTTGCACCCGTTGTGAAAAGAGGACCAATGTTAGAATTCTCGACTCGACCACAGGGCTCGGCCCTGGCTAAGCCAAGTAATTGGGATTTGGCATATATATATATATATATATATATATATATATATATATATATATAAAGTCCCCAAAAATAAGAAAAAGCTGATTAAAATAAAATTAAACAAAGCACAACAAAGCACATCTATATGAGGTTAAAAAAGTAAAGCAAATGTAGATTTTAAAAAATCAATTGTTGACACGGTGTATTTTAGAAATAATCCACAAAGTAGGTAACATATAAATTAGTATCCATGGCCAAAACACTTTCCAATATTAACCAAAATGATAAAAAATAAATTGCAAATAAATTTCTTATTTTTTTTAGATTTTTTGTATTTTTTTTTGACGATCCATAAGTCAAACCACACAGGGGATCCTCGAACTCGATGGCAAGTCCAAATTACTCACTCAAGTCGGAGTTGGCTCGCCCGAGTTTTCCTACAGTGCAGACATCTTCCCAAATCGTTTACCAAAACAATATGAAGTGGAATGGAGGAGAGAGCCGTGAATGAATAACGCACAAAATTTACGATTGAAAAAGTTTAAATTGTATCAACAAACAAAAGTAATCAAATTTGGGTACACCATGTGGTGGTGGTGGTGGCGTCAAGAGACAGAATTCCTCCACCTAGCAGACCTTCCCTTCTTGGCCCCTCCTGGGCTCTTCCCATACTGTGGCGTACGAAGCGGCACCGAAGCCGGGAATCCGCAACCTTCCCCCTCCCCCCCTCCAACAGCGCTACACACATCCTCCCCTATTCCACCGCCACCACCCTGTCGCAAGAATGGCACCGCTGCTATCCTTCCCAGCTTCTTCCAGGGAAACACTGCCCTCCGTCTCACGAGCTTATCGACCTGCAACTGTAGTGACTGACAAATCACCTGAAGCTTTAGTAAATCCTCTCGCAAGCGTCTGATCTCTGTATGAGGAACTGGAGGCACTATCTCTCTTCTGGATTGGCATATGGCAGGGCTTTCGAGAGAAACAGCTGCGGAAGCAGATGGAGGGCTACGTCGGTTTCGGAAGGAGGCAGTGCCAGAGTCTGCATTGCAAGGGGGATGGTGGTGGAGCTTTGTGCGGTCGGAGAGGAGGACGTGGATGACAGTGCGCACGGGGACGCGGTCATTGTGGGCAGCATGGATACAGGCCTCCTGAGAGAGCTTTCGGCCGTCGAGAAGACAGCAAAGTCGCTTCCTGTCTTGCTTCGAGAGACCGGGGTGCGCCTGTTTTGACATACGACGGTAAATCAGTGGTGGTGGACGATCACGAGGAAGATGGAGGAGACATATGACGGTGAATCAGTCGTGGTGGACGAACACAAGGAAGATGCAGGAGAAAGAAAAGATGAGAATTATGCTATTTTCCAAACCAATAGATTCCTATACAAATATTTTAAAGTCTATGTTTCTTTAAATCTCTACCACCAGGCCATGTTCTGTGAAATCCATACTTGTATAGCTCCTGAGGTAACCATTGTGCTTTCTCATTCAAATAAGTTTGTCAAGGGAGAAGCAACAAACTTCTTAAAGCCATTAGATATAAAATCTGTCAAGCTACAGTCCATAGATATTACAAGGAAAAAATTTCTCAAACTTTGAGGGCAGTCACAACCTCTTCATCAGATTTTACAATAGACAGTCTAATTTTCAGTTTTTTTATTTTTTGGTTCTACTGAAGGTAAGACTCTCATTTTAGGGACCTTTAAAGCCTAAAATAAAAAGATTTAACCAAGCCAAAACCTAGCTTGGAATCACTTAACCATGGCGCCCATTGCAGATAACCACAGAGTTTCTTTTCCACTAGCTTAACTGCGGCGAAACTTCGGCCTTCTGAGATAAATGTGGATGTGCATTCTTCATTGTTTCTGAGGCAGAGCACTTTGAACTCATTGCCACATTGATAAGGAACGAAGATCCGGCCGGTAGTGGTCAAAACAGGTATGAACTTTTTGAAACAATAGGAAAAGTGAGAGAACTAAACTAGCCTCGGCTAAAGATTGCGTTTAACCTGTAGGGTCCAGAAACTCCATTGCAAGAATCATCTTGGAGAGGTTCCCAAGAACCTTCTGACCTAACAAGAACCTTGTTCACACCCAGAGTCATGGGATGCCCCTTCTATCCATGAATTATTAATGCTGCCGATATAGAATCTCTTTGTGATGCCACTAAAGTCTAGGGCAAATATACTCTATGAGTAAAATTTGAAAAGGATGAAGATAGGAAAGACTTCGAGATCAGATGATATCCTGATAGAGGTTTGGAAGTGCATAGGGGAAATTGGTATTGACTGGCTGATGAAACTGTTCAACAAGGTGCGAAACACTTGCTAAAGTCCTCTAAAAGATGCACTATCTTGAAAGCCTTTTAGGGACCACACAACCCTAGGTCGATCTACCGTGGCTGTAAACTAATAGGTGGTTGAGCAAGGATCACATAAAAGCAATTCTTACTAAAAATGGTTGAATATCATTGATAAATCTTGCTTTTTCAGTTAATCTCAGTGAAAACTCATGAGAGTAAAGTTTTGCCTCTGATCAAAATTTTCATGAAGTTTTCAAGCAAATATAGGGTTTTCAATCAAAATTCACTATTTGTTAGCAAGCTACAGTGGAGCAGGTGGAAGTGGTTAAAAAGGAAGTCATGCATTACAATCTCAAGAAACTAAACCTACAAAATAGGTGGTGTTAGGTCGCCATAACCGCCGCACAATGTCGAGTACATTGGTCATAGTCACAGAAAGGCTCTTACAACATTTTAGTCATTCTAACAATTCCAAGTGATATTTTCACCCAAAATTTGAATTTAAATAATGCAGGCTACATTCAAATCACTGAAAAACATAAAGATTGATCAAACATTCATATATGTTGATTAGACATAGGATAATATAAGATGCTAAGTCCAGCCTAATCATCAAAAAATTATGGTTTAAGTAGATTTCAAACTCGATTTAATCCACACTTAAAGCCATTAAAAATTAACCATTCTCTTTTCTATGGAGATCATTAAAACATCGCTCACTTGATAGGCAAATGCCTTTGCAAGCACATAACCTTGTTATTATCAATAATCACCCACAAGAGAATAATCAAGTCATTCCCATGGCATGTGTGTACAATGGCCAGCACAATTACTTTTTAGATGGATTGTATTAGAGGGGAACTTGGAAAGTGGGGGTGACCTTTTCATACCTAGGAGGTCTGGAGATATCCTAGGTTAACTTGCGTCCAAAGAAAAAAAAGGTAAAATATCAAAAAAGATGTTGTAACCCTTATAATATCACTAAAGAGGTCAAATACTTGAGGATATGCAGTTTCTATATCAACCAAGTACTTCCTCAGGATTTCGAAATTGCTACTATTGATGTTGGAAAGCTAGAACAATTAGTGCTACTTTGGTAATTTTATCCTCAATTACAATTCCTTTAAGTCATCTTTAGGGAGATAAAACTATCAAAATACGTCTAATTATTCTAGCCCTGCAACACTGAACAGGGGTAATTTAGAAAGGTTTCAATAATTTTTTTGGGATTGTATACTAAGTGAGCATTTATCTTTAGTACAAGGAAGCCACAATTAATCATAGCTATTAGATATCCAATTGGATGGCTTAGAGTCTCACGAAGTTCAAGAAAGTTTTTGTGAGGCTTCAAGTTTAGTAAAAAGTACACTTAAAACGATATGATTTGAAATTTCCTTGCACTAAAACTAATGGTCTCTCTATACACTTTTTTTTTTTTTTTGAGGATGTACCTGAGTGATACAGAAATATGAAATTACATTCAAATGTAATTTCTAATCTTTTGATTCCTCTAATGATATGATAAAGGGTTTCAACCCCTTTTTCTAATATTTCCCCTTTTTCTAATATTTCCCCTCAAAGTGAACAATGAATCCTCTCAATTCTTTGATGTCTTTCTCCTCTAGTTTTTGTTTCACTTTATGCCTTAAGAATAGTTTTTAAGAAATCACCTATACCAAAAATTAGTAAGGTGGCCCCAAATAGTTGGGACAAGGCTCTGATAATCAAAATCTCATTCTAAACACCCTATATATATATATATATATATATATATATATATAGTAG